AAATGCTCAGGGGCGTTCGCTCGTTACGCCGGGGAAGTCAGGGTTGATTCACACTGGCACTCCACTCCGCAAGAATCCTCATATTACCAGCAAGGATAGGTATTAATGTATTAATAGGGGTCCCTGGGTGTAGCAAGTGTTTGTGTGATAAATCCTCAGACATTGAACATTTATTTATTTGTTTCAGTCTGGATAAGCACAATTCCCTCTTTGACGTGATGTTGTAAAGGATCTTGAAGACTTTACGGTATCGGCCTCCTATTGTACGTGTGAGACTAAGACTGATGAATCTTCAACCAGCCCCAAGATAAAGTTCTGTGTCCACCACCAACGCTAAGCAGTGCATATATCCAGCAAACTACATACGAGTGAATGATAAGAATTCTTGTGCAATAAGGACAAGACGAAGACGATCGATTGGACCGAATCTTGAATCCACGAAATCGAAGGGTATTGTTATATACTTTTAATCCTTTTTGTTATATCAGAAGTGTGTGTGTGGATGATATTGAAAGCTGTAGAGAACGGCTAGTATTCAAATATTGACCAGAAAACTTAGAGGCTGAGTGAAGATTTAGTCATGCACTGTTAAAAGGCCAATGTTAGTAACCCATTTTGTGTTTTGCATTGGAGTTATTCAAGGTTGGGTTTGGTGTCTTTTATCCGTAATCGTTTCTTATTAGAACTGCAAGTCCATTGGGTGATATCTATATCTGACTGAAGAGCATTTCGATATATAATGACATGTCACTATAATACAATATAACTAGAACATGGGGCACTGTAATTTGAGAGCAGTATATTGCTGAAAACCAAAGTCATGGATTTACCCATAAAACATATACCATTTTTGTACGATGGCATCTATTCAGAAGCGACAACAGGTAGGAACACCTCTCCCAATGCTCTTTCCACATATTTTAAAAACCGCGTAGAACTGTGAAAAGTAAGAATAGAAACAGGTCTTTCCACCCTCTTGAGAGGTGGGGAGTGGGAAGTGAGAGTGCGTTTAACGTCGTGCGTGAGAATATTTCGCTCATATGACGACGTGCATGCGTGTGTATGTGTATGTGCGGCTGCTTGTACTAGCCCAGACTTAAGCTGGTTTTTATAGTGCCTAACCTCACTGAGATTACAATGCCGCAGTGAAGCATGAATACCCAACTCAGATACATTATACTGACTCCGGAGCCGACCAGTGCTTGTTGTACCCATTAATGCCGAAGGCGCCAGGCAGGGACCAACAAGTACCATATTTTCTAACGTCTTTTGGTATGACGCGGTCGGGGATCAGACCCGCGACCTTCCGCTCTCTGGGAGGCGGGACGCTCTAACCACTACACCACGGAGGCGGTTTTTCACCTCTTGAAAATAAAGTTGTTGAACATCACCGGTATTTGCAGAAAAGGACTAACACAAAACTGGCCATTTGTAGTACAGTACAACGCCACATTAGGAACTTGTTTCTTATCAGACACATAGAGCTGTTATTTTAATCTGGGGCAAAGATACGTTTGGCAAGGAGAACTATTAAAGGGAAGTGTACATGATAAAATCCACATTTATTCTTATGTGTGAAACAAAGTGAAATATTTTAAATGGTTTATATCAATGTTTGAGAAAGTATACACTCATTTTCTTACAATGAAATTATAATCCTGAAAATAACTGCTGAAATGTTTATGCCATTATGCAGCCCTTGTTTGCCGAGCTAAACAGGCCAGAGTTACCGCTTGCTTGATTATGACGCAATTGGTGCCACTTGATTTTGAACTGGTCTCCTGTCTTGTCTGAAATCAAAAGATAAAATACGAGAAAGAAGCATAAGAACTGAAAATGTAAGCCTTGGAGACCGATAGATCATTATTATTGTTTTCATTCCTAACTTCACGTCATTGAAAATGCCAAATATGTGAAACAATGTTGACGTAAATGATGCACATCACACTACCGGGAAGCGACATTTTTCAAAATGGCGTGTTCGCACTGACTTACGAAATTACGCCGGATTTTTCGGCGGAAAATTTTTGGTGTTTCAAGCAACAACATATACGTCATGGGTGGATCCCCTGACCCCACCTTGAGAATGACTTAAGACCACATTGAAGATTTTTTGCGTTGGAGGAGGGACGAAGTCAGGAGGTTCAGACTCCTGACCCACCCCCACCCTTTCAAAATAACGAGCATTGGTGTTTCCTGGATCCGCCCATGTACATAAAATGCTGACATCAAGAAACTTGCATTCTGACAATCTGCCGGTTTAGGTGCGTGAGTCGGGAGTGCGTGAGTTTGTGTCAATAACGATATCACGCTTTCCAGAAACTGTAATATGTTGTGATGAATTCCAGGAAATCATTAGGAATACACCTATTTTGTTTTACTATCGATTGCTACGATACCTTTCCGATGCATAGTCACCACCAAGGAAACTGTGGGCGCGGCATCTGATATAATTCGTTAAGATTTCACTGGGAAACACTTGGTATTGGTGACAAAGACCATTTGCGTAAGGGAATTCAGAGATTCGTGTAAAATTATTGCGTGTGACGTGAGTTTTATAAACACTCTGCAATATGGATGAAAATTCACTTTGACGTTAACTGTGCGTATTTTTGCAAGACATTCTCAGCGATAATCGGTTCATCGACAATGTTTCAGAGACGAGCATTGGTGTTTCGATCAAACAACAATAACAACAAAATACCGCTGATCACTATGATACGTTGTTTTTCGGGTTTTTTTTACGTTTTGTTTTTGTTTTGTTTTTGTCTTTTTAAAATTCAATTCTCCCAGCAAAATTTGAAGGCATTTGGATACAAGAAAAGTATAAATTACACAAAACACAGTGATGATTGTGAATGGGGATTTCATCAATATGTCAAAATTGGCCCAGATTAGTGCATGTAAATTTCGATATATTTGCCTTAAAATGAGCCGGATGATGTCATAGCAAAACGAATTTCAAACATAATTAAAACTGCCAACTGTATTTATCTTCGTGATGTATTTGGATATGGTATCGATAGGTGGTAAGAGTGGAAGAGGTGGGACATATATTGTACGATTTATGTAGGAAATTCCGAATTAAAGTAAGAAAGGTAGAATGCCGTTGCACATTCATGCATTATAAACGTTTAAGTTTTTGTGAAAAACGATACTGTTGAAGACGACCGACTCCAGGTTGAATGTTGTACAATTTGGTTTTACGTGGTAACACTCTTTGTACAATGTATACTTTTCAAACTGTAACGTCATCACAGTGTGGAACTGACCACATAGCCACCTGACGGCCAAGCAACTTAGCTGGATTAAAACAGTAGTCTGCGCATCGAGACACAAGAACCACACCTATACCTGCACCACACCTATACCTGCACCACGTGAAATGGGTCATTCGTTTGTCGGTTTTGGCATCAATGACGTCATTTCCGAGGGACATAACCATGGTGTGTTTATTGTGGACATAGAACTCTCGGTTAATGTGGAAATTTACCCCGAGATCGATATAACGCAAAATATAAATTAGTTAATTCTGATATCTGTTCTGTTTTCGCCATAAAACAACGTACAAAACACTTTTTATGATGGAGAAGTGCAGGACAAAAGGTTAAATTTCAAGTAAACTTGCCCTTTAAGGCGACACCTGTCCTGCATGGTCAGTGGCGTTAGCAGCAAACAAGAAATAGTCGGAGATCCACAAGGACCCGCTCACTGGGTGACTGAGCAAAATGTTGACAGTTCAGTACATATTTCCAAAGAGAGGATATATATATTCCGACATCACACAAACTTGAAGAAAATGAAAAGTATTATCTCGCTGGTTTCCAAAGAAGTTTGTCGTCTGATGCAAATAATGTCAAAGTCATAGCGAAGAGATTGTGTATCAATGTAGAAATTGAATTCTTAATATCACGTTAATATCATAAGGTCCAAGGTAAAGTGATTGTTGTTGTGGCGCTCTTGCACTTCGAATATAACAGCCGAAACATTGGAGACTACAACGAGTCTATAACGTTGAACACTCCAAATGGATACCCTATTTTGGTCATGGCTGAATTTCTGCATTGGTTATGAGTATAAAATAGTTACTAGGTAAATGTTAACTGAATATGTGAAAATTATCTTTTTTGCACACAAAGGAAGCTGTTGATACATTTTGTCTATAAACAGTTTTAAAACCGTTTTCCTATTTTAGCGTGAAGACCTTACCAAGTGATTAATTATGTACAAACTTCAATGTGACATTGACCCGGTGGTTGATTGGTTGGTTTGTTTCACGCCGCACTCAACAGGCAATATTTCCAGTGGCGGTCTGTAAATAATAAAGTCTGAACCAGACAATCCAGTGATCAACAGCATGAACATCGACCTACACAACTGGGATACGATGACATGTATCGACCAAGTCCAGCAAGCCTGACCTTGTCCCGTTAGTCGCCTTTTTACGACAAACATGGGTTACTGATGACCAATTCTAACGCGGATCATCACAGATCTAAATGACCAGTTAGTTTACAAGTTTTCATTTTAATGAAAGTAACATTTTCATATGTATGTTAATTACTTAAAATTATTGGTTAAATTGTCAGTCAACGGAGTGGGTGAACGGATGGACAATATTGATATGTAATTAATTACTTAACATTGTGTGAGTATATTGTCAGACAGCTTGGAGTGGATGAACGGATGGACAATATTGATATGTGTTAATTACTTAACATTGTGTGAGAATATTGTCTGTCAACGGAGTGGATGAACGGATGAGACAATATTGATATGTGTTAATTACTTAACATTGTGTGAGAAATATTGTCTGTCAACGGAAGTGGATGAACGGATGGACAATATTGATATGAGTTAATTACTTAACATTATTGTGAGTATATTGTCAGACAACAGGTGAATGAACGGATGGACAATATTGATATGTGTTAATTACTAAACATTGTGTGAGTATATTGTCAGTCAACGGGTGGATGAACGGATGGACAGCTAGAGTCAGCTCATTACCTACTGTGAAGAACTCTTTAACAAATCAGCGTCTGTCAACCTGTGTCAAAACATTGATGAAGAAAGCATAGAGCGGAGTAAAGACGACTGCATTCTGGATATACAGGTTAAGAGAAGTATACACTTCCATTTGTGGTTCAGTCATTAAATCCCTCATCTTTCCAAGAAATGATTAATATGGATTTCGAGAGCACATTGTGACTAGGTGCGTTGTGTTTTATTCAAAAGGCATCATTCGTGGTTAATAGAATCACTACATGATTCAAAGCAGTTTAGATTCCATTCAGGTTGAGAAAACATGAGGTTTTATTGCGAAAAGCAATGATTTTGTAATACAAATCAGGAAAATGACCGAAAAAAGCATTTGTCCTCAAGTTGTGGATCAGTGATCTACTGGAGATCTGAAACTTAGTACGTACACACATACAGTTTTGTTTTGACCTTTTTGAACACGCTTGGTCGCTTTTATTCGAAAAGTTACTTACAAGTCGTATTTACCCAGAATGTCCTTTTGTTCAAAACCAAAGCATTGCTGCTATAAGAACGCTTTCTGTAGGTATAATAATAATAATATTTTGGGATAGCCTTGGGTTAAAGCGTTCGCTTGTCATTCAGAAGACCTGGGTTTGATTCCCAACATGAGTACAATGTGTGAAGGCCATTTCTGGTGTTCCCAGCCGTGATATTGCTGGGATATAGCTAAAGCTTACAAAGCTAACTCAGTCACCCAATATTTGTACTACAGTTGATCGGCGACACTACCTTCTCGGACATGGCGGTGGCGACAGCGACGGAACAATGTGGGAGGAAGGTGATGATGAACGCCACAGCTGCTGCTAAATCTCCTGCAGCCAATGGAACCACAGCGAGTCAGTGGGAGCAGTTTCAGAAGGTCTCCTGCATCTACGAATGTAGTCACAGAGGAACATGTGTAGAAGGTAAGACTTACCTTGATGAGTCATTATGTGTTGCAGCATTGGAACCAATTTGCGTCCATATATTGGATATTGTTACTGAAAAGAGGAAGACCATGTCTTACACTTTGCAACAATTCTCGTCACGTTGCATATTGCGTAGAACTGATGGCATTTCTCCATGATGCGAATGTGCTGATGGGCGAAACTCCGACATTGCTATGATCTCTGATTTGTCATCATTGTATCGATAATTTGGGGATACGTTGAAGCAAATGACGTTTTATTCAGTATTTATAGCCTTATAGTACAAATTACACAATTGCTACAATTAAATGCACGTGGCGATGGTGACATTTCTTGTATTAAAATACATGTTTCAGAAAATTGCAATAAATTTGATACTTACATAAATATTCTTAGAGTTTACCAGACTGGACAATATTTGTTTATCTCTTACAGGTGTTGATATGAATGATAAATACTTGCTTTGTAAAAATGACCAGGGTGGCCACATGAATACATGCAAACATTTGTTGCGGGTACAGCAACGTGCAGTACACTTGGTCAAAGTAATTGTGACTATGTGTCCCAGTCCACCAGCTGTGAATGGGTGCACCTCTTAAGGATGCAGACCGCAATAACGGTGGCGCGAAAGAGTGGCTACCAAGGAGGTTGTAGCGATCCCAGGAAGTAATTGATAATACGATTATTGCCAAATGTAACTTTAAAAAACATACTAGGCGTCATTAATAAGGGTCAAATGATATATAGCACATGTAAAGAAAGGTTTCTCAGGAATAAAAGAACGAAGAGTGTCATGATAATGTTTAATGTGTTTACAAACGTTCAAACAGTATTAGCAAACATCAGTTGTATAGGCCAACACCTCAAAATGAAAGTAACAAACATGAAGCACTCGCGGGATTGGTCAGTCAATATCTTGTGTACCCTCCTCGCGCGTCCAAGACACAGGTGCACCTTGTTTTCATGTTTATCAAGTTCATAATAAAGCTTGCGGAATCGCATTCCATTCTTCTACTAGAGCTCTGTGAAGTCCTGAGAGATTCACTGGTGTTGTATGACGTGAGTTCACCCAAGGCATGCTCAATGGGGTTGAGGTCTGGCGAGCTCTACACCCCGCTGCCTAAGGAGTTCCGTGAACTTAGAGGCCTAGCGTTGTTGTCGTCTTGCAGTAAGAGGGTCGACCATTAAAGTCATGCATAGCTTGCAGGAATGGTACTGCTATAGGAGCCAGATCAAAGTCATTCTGTGGTCTAGTCAATAGAACATTAACTAAGGTCGGGAGTTTGGTCATCGTCCGCGATGTATCAAAGGATTTACTTGATGTTACATATACACTCTTCAAAAAGAAAGAAACGGATGAGCCATTTCAGAAGAATTTGTTGCATTAGTTTAAGAGCAATTATTTCATGTACTTTCAACGGTAAAAAGGTGAAAATTCACGTCTGTAGACAACGAGTTTGCCAACACAACAGTGCAGCAGTTTATTGTTGTGTTACTGTTTACTTGAGTCCACAAGATAGCGTCAAAGTCGGTACTTTGTGTGGCCACCATCGGCAGCAATTACTGCTCGGCACCGTCTCGGCACAGACTTGATAAGTCGACGAAGTTACTCTTATGGAATTCTTCCCCACTGTTCCTGCAATGTGATGGCCAGGTGCGGATGTGTCTGAGCGTGTTTTGATGTTGACGTACACATCGATCGAGTTTACCCCATAGGTGTTCTATTGGGTTTAAATATCCTGTTCGGGAAGGCCATAGCAAGATTTTGACGTTAGAACTGTCAAAGTTGCGGACCGAGAGGCGTGCTGTTTGTGAAGTAGCGTTGTCCTGCGGAAACAACTCCCTCTGTCGGTCCATAATCGGAAGCATGTGACGTGCAAGGTTGATGTACCGATTTGTTGTCAAATTTCCCAGAATCACCACTAAATCAGATCGTTGTGTGTTGGATAGTTCTCTCCACACCATGACATTTCCGCCATCGAATCTGTCGACCCATTGAATGCAATTAGGGACAAAACGTCTTCTATCTCGCCGGTGAAGAAAAAATCGTGATTCATCACTGAACCAAACTCGCCTCTAGTTCCTAGGGTTCCAGTTCCAGACTCTACGACACCACCGCGAGCGATTACGCGTATGGAAGGTTATCAAAACAGGGGCGACAACTGGCCTTCTTGGTCGAATTCCCACTTCACGCAATCGATTCCTGACAGTTTGGTTGGAAATTCTTCCACGGCTGTGGCAAGACGATGATGCAAGCGAGCAGCCCGAATGGAGCGGTCTTGGGCTTAGGTGGTGACTCTTGGACGGTCCATTCTCGGGCGATCTTTGGCGGAAATGGTCTGCAGGAAACGATCCAAAGGCGAGATATGGTGCTCTGAAGAACGTTGAAATGTCGGGCAACTGCAGACTGCGACTTTCCCAGATTCAACGCCGTCTATAGCGATGTTTTGACTGGCGGCCTCAGTCGTGGCATGACAATTTCCTCTTTTTCATGCAAAAACGAATGACGAAATTAAACACGTTTGTCTTTTTAGAGTAATCGATACCGCATGCTTTTTCGCTTACTTACACGTGCATTTTGCTTTGAATGTTTTTCTTGGTGACGTTTTGGCGAATATTTCTGCAAAGGCTTCTAAAGCAAAGGGAAAAGTTGAAATTGCCGCGTTTTGGCGCTGAATGATTGTATATTTATATAGTTCTTCCCGCAGATACATAGGTCCAATTTTCTCAGAATCACCTATTCGTTTCTTTATTTGAAGGATGTATTTGGTAAACTAGGAAATCGAGATTAATACTTACAATTGTATTCGCTTAACTCCAACTCCCATTTCATTCAGGCCGTAAGTCAGTTGAGTTCAATATCAATAAACCCTCTCGCACATACCAACATGGCTCCATTATAACGTAACTGTTGACTGTCAAGTGCGAATCATGCCTGTCATCATTTGGTGTTCAGAGGAGAAAATCTTTACTTCTTTCTAAAGTCACCTCATTTTTAAGGTATTGTTCATGTTTTGTCATATTACTGGAACGGTATGCAGAATATTTGTACATAGCATTTGTAGCTTGTCTTCTCGTCTATTAATTGACTTTGAGAATGTTTCTCAACCAGGTGAATGTCAGTGTGAGGCTGGATATGGAGCGTCGGATTGCTCTGTAGATATCACCGAACCACCGAGAACATTTGGGCTGAAAGAGGACGGCGTCTGTGATGTCACCTCCCGCACCTGCAACGTCAGCCACATGCTAACAGAGCATATCGTGCAGAACGGTTTCAGCAATTGTCGCACTAGATCCTTTGAGGTATGTTGTGTGTCATTATGTATGTATGTGTGCGTGCGTTGTTTGTTTGTTTGTTTTAAACATATTTTATTCATGAGAAAAGGATTGGGTACAAGTTATACAACTTAGAACACCCTCTCCGTAGTATTTACATAGTATTATTTACATTCATTCTACAAGATGGACAGAGAAGAACAGAGCAGAAATATGTGAAAAAGAGGAACAATTGCAACATTTAAGAAAATCGTTTTGAATGACAAATATATGTTTGAACAATTTTAAATATGTTTTGATTTATGTGAACAGTCAGATCTGCATTGCCATGTAATAGTAACTCATAGGTTATATCCACATTTGTAATACTGCGTAAATTAGTCATCATGATAGTTCTCTGTACTGTATATAATTGACAGTCAAATAAGTAATGATAAGAATTTTCACAAACATTTCCACAAGAACAACTTGGGTTATCTCTTAAACCAGCACGGAATAGATCATAATTCAACTGACTACAGGTGTAACGTAGTTTTGTAAGGATGATGTTAGTGATTCTCGGTCCAGAATCAAAGTATTGAGGAGCAGTTTTATGTTTTATAACAATATTCGATATAAAAGAATTCAATGACTCGCTTTTTCTCACTTCAACTGGAAGTTCATTCCACATTCTAATTGTGGATGAAAAATAAGAATCATGGGAAAATTTTAATCGCGAGAAAGGAAGTGAGATATCATCAGAGTTGCGAAGATTATAGCTACATTTAGATGCTACGTCCCCAGGAACAAGATCAATAAGGTACGATGGTGCCATATTATTCTGTATTTTGTAAAAAAGGCGAAGTTTACGCTTTCTCCTACGTTCTGCTAAAGATTCCCAACCAGTTTCATAATACAGATGTTCATGATGAGTATATTTAGGTAAACCTGTAACAATTCTTTGCTGCTTCTAATTGCAGTTGTTCTAATTTATTTGCTTGATATTTAGCACATCCATCCCATACTTCACGCATATTCAAAATGGGGTCTTATGAACATTACGTAAATTCTATTCAATACAGAGCGTGGTAATAAAAATTTGAGTTTACGTAGAGAAGATATCATTTTTGAAGTTATTTTTACAATATTATCAATATGGTCAGACCATTTACAATCTTTTGAAAATGTTAATCCCAAATGTTTATGATTATTAACTGTTTTGACACAAACCCCGTTAAAGTACAGATTTAGTGCATCAACATTCTTTTGCAAGGAGAAAAAGATTGCCTCAGTTTTATCAGGATTGTATGTTATAAGCCACCGCTTTACCCAAGCCCGCAGCCTTTCCAAGTTTGAATTCAAATCTCTTTCAATGAATAGACGATCATGAGAAGATGACCCAAGAGACGAATCATCAGCAAATAATCGTGTCAAGCAGATTAAATCATCAGCAATATCATTGACATAAACAAGAAATAAGAAAGGACCGCGTGCGTTCGTGCGTGTGTGTGTGTGTGTGTGTGTATATATATATATATATATGTATATATACACTATTACTGTTTACTGTTGGTTCGTTTTCATTTAATAATAATAATTCATTTATATAGCGCCTAGTATCCATCTGACTAGTTGCACACTGGACATTTACACATTTCAAGACGTGAATCTATACGGAATATATACGTTATACATTGGCTGTTGACAGATCGACTACAACAATAGTGTAACTTATGGTGAAGCGTTACCCCAGGCACTGGAAGTGGAAAGCATTGCTGAAGGCGTCTGCTCCCTGCCTGCAGCACCTCTTGTAATGAGCGCTTCCAACACCGTTGCCCGTGGTTACCTAGTGTCAGTCTCCAATGATGGAAAAGCATACAGTGATGAAAGTGCCGTCGTCATCTTCAACTCATCATGTCAGGAGTGTGACGTTGCTAACAACGTTGTCACATGCAGATTTGTGGTAAATAACATACCTTTCCATATACATAAACTGTACTATGAATATCTAGGTCAGTTGGTTACATAAGTGGAAATGAATTAGCTATCCGACGAATACTGTGCGATATCACATCATAGTTATTTTGCTTAAAATCACATATTTCATTCACAAGGAAAATCAGTGACCGCCGCCATATAGCCGGAATATTGGTGAATGCCGCGTTAAACAACAACCAAACCAATGCTACAAGAAACACATCACCATAAATGGAAAGCACAACTGGTGCCCACTTCTTGTAAAGTATGTCATCCCCCTTTATTATCTCCGCAACGCATTTGCGGTGTGTGTGTTGTTTAGTCCGTGTGTCCGTCCGTGCAAATTCGTCTGTTCCGGAGCAGAACATAAAAACCGTTTAATATTCCTTCACCGAACATGGCACATTGATAAATCTGATGGTGAACTGGTGCCCTTTGGTAGTTTTGGATTTCTGAATAAAATAATGTTTGCGTTTCCATGGCAACAAGTTTGACTTCGACTGAAATTGGTGATAGTGCTCTTTTCAGGAGCAGAACATTAAAACGAATACCACTCTATTTCCAGTATCAACATTACTGAGGTACATCAAACCGTGGAAGCACTCAGGCAGTATGTTGTTGATGCAAGCATGCTAGTATATGAATAGTTTATATATACTATCCAACAAAGGAAACGCACAGGCAGTTTGTATTTTTAAAAATCTATTAATTACCTATTCTGTTCAAACAATCGTCAAAATATGTAACAAAAGTGTTGATAGCATGATTTTACATAATTGCACTAGTAAGAGAATCGGCTTTACCTGACGCAACGCGACAGAAATCACCTTGAAATTGTGCAGCAAAGAGCATGCACTATCTGGCTATAAAAATCCAGATTACTTCCGGAAGTCGGCATTCGTTTTGAAGGAGTTTCAAGGTCAAATCACTATGCCACGTCTTGACGCTGCGACACCGAACATCCCCATTGAAAGAATGCACGCTGCACGCTGGAGATTAACAGTCTTCTGTTACCAGGCGTCTGAATGTTAGTCTGAGCACGATATCACGGCTTGCACGTTACAACTAAACAAATGACCGTCCCCGTACAGGCAGACCTCGAGTCACCACTGCAGCCCAGTCGTGGTCGTAATGCCACGGGTGAGAGCACAGCAGCCAGGTGCCTGGACTTCGTAGGATACCCGGTCAAACTGTACGGGACAGGTTGAGAGAGATTGGAATGAGAGCCAGGAGACCCGACGTCGGGACCGTGCTACGTCGTCACCATCGCGCTCAACGCCTCCGTTATCTAAAATTATCCACTTGGTTGTATAGACATAACCTTCTTCTAAACTGCTGTAAACATTCATGTACTAAACGCTGTTTGTGAACGAGTTATACATGTTTGAAAATACAACATTTTCGCAACAGATTTTTTGGGTTATGCGTTTCTTTTTTGAATAATATATGTATGTTTTCGTAAGATCAATGTGAAGAACAACGTAACTTTTGACATAGCCATAACCGGTTGACATATTCTTCAAGAGTATTTTACCATTACGAAGGATATTGATGACTTTGTTTTCTTGTGCATCTGGTATCGATGAGGAGTTGCAGCTCTTGACATATGATTTTCTCAGTTAACTTCTGATGATACTGACCTTAACCCTACGTTAGCTTGTTGTTATGTGCTCGCATATTCGGAATATTATTCCAGCGGATACCATAGTCGCCCTTTACGACAAGCCTGGGTTGTTGGGTTACAGGTATAAGCTGGGTTTACATATCATTCCTCATGAATAAAGTCAAAAAGTCTAATACTTAAGATTTTCAGTAGGTTGGGACTTTCAATTAAATTATTATTATCTAGCATCACTCATGTAGTTTGCAAAACTGAAGGGATTTAGTTCAAACAGAATTTAGTCAAAGTCAAAGAGTGTTTTCAGTCTCACGCCATCTCGAGACTTAAAAAGAATGAAAAAATTGAACATACCTTTTGATGTTGAAAGTTCAATTTGCACATGCTTTCTTACCTTGTCAAAGTTACATCTCTTGAGACACGTAGAATTTACTTATAGAATATTAACTTGGAAAAAGTGTCATAACACTACATACCGTTTGATGATTGAATGTCTCAATTTGCTTCTTCTAACCATTGCTTTGGGATTATCATGACATTTGAAAATTAATACAAACAGATGTTGCTGCCAATCAAGTGGTGCTAGTCCAACTGAGAGGAAGTTGAATATCACCTGGTTTCAACTTCTGTATTCTATAAATTTATGTTTCAGTACACGAGTCTTATTCCTTCAATGTGACTTTTTGGTACATCTGCAGACGTTGCAAAGAAATATCTTCTCAACTCTTCCTTACTACTTCAGCTTTGAACTTTAAATGCCTCCTATTTGTTTAAATATGTATAATTTATCTGTCTAGTTTGCATTTCATATGCCGATTCTGTATAGATTAGCCATGTTCTTCTGCATCATGTCACGTATGGCAAATGTGATGCTGACCAGCTGATGTGATGCAAATGTTATTTTATCCATTGTTCTGATTCAGAGCCAGGCCTGTAAGAGTGGAGACGTCTGTGTCTCCTCTGGTCATCCTCATCCACTTGACAGCTGTCACGTGTGTTCAGATGGCCAATGGGTACCAAGTACTGCGTTTGGTAAGCCGGAAGTGCATTTTAATGACAAATTGATAAAAGTTTTTGAGTGTTGAGTGTCATATGTGCGTACTGCAACTGATGGAAAACCATCACCGACGAAAACATATCTTATGGTGTGTGTGTGCGAGTGCGCGTGTGCGTGTGTGTGCGCGTGCGTGCTTGCGTGCGTGCGTGCGTGTGTGTGTGTGTGTGTGTGTGTGTGTGTGTGTGTGTGTGTGTGTGTGTGTGTGTGTGTGTGTTTGGTTCATCAGAATCAGAACTGACGCCTCTGTCACGATACAGGATCAGATCATGAAACACCACCCATAAACCCATACGGTCCAGAAGTACGAACGATAGCAGCACACTTGGATTCATATAGGTACAATGTCTTATTTTTTTCATATTCACTTGAAAGGTTTGTTGGCCCAGAGAGCGCGAACCTTAGACAACTTACACCAAATCTGTTGAGCATCTTTAATATCATCACGTGAACCAGATTTGTTTAAGTCCTTAATTTCCTGAGAAAAAAAAAGAAAAGGTCAGAAATCAAAAGCATTTCGTAACAAATGGAATCAGCTTGTTTTGCGGAACAAAGCAAAAGTCTAAATCGTGTAGGACATAAAGATTATGCATGTATTTTGTCTTGTCATAGAATTATGAAACCAAATACTCTAATGTTGAAATATGAAAAGATTTCCAATTGACTCATTTTGAATGCATGGCAATTCTCTTTTTTAATATTTTTGTTCTTGCACTTGAGAAACGTGGTCCTACTGCTGTTGGATCAATATTAGCAGCTTGTATCATGATGCTGGATCATGATAAATATAGCCTAACGAGAATTTCCCGAGGAGGTATCTTATTATGAGACTCCCACATAGAACGGGTTAATATAACACAGGATAATCGAATCTGACTTGATTTTTATGTAAGTAGACATCAACTAAGGCCTAATGTGTCGTACTCTTCTTGTTTCAGATGGTGAGTTGCCAACCGGATAACAATATGTTGATTATTGCGTGTTGTTTTTGTGGAGCACTAGTAATTGGCCTATTGATTGGGTTGGCCTTGATGATCCGTTCACATTCGAGGTAAAAATTAATTTATCAAGCCTTACTTCGGAGATGGATGTTATGTGGTGTTGACGGACCCTTTACGAACTTATTCTTTTCTTACTAAGGTACGAATCGATCAATCATATGTAAATATCGTGAAGAGTGGGTGAGATGGTTTGTGTGCTTATTTCCTAACGCCGCACTCCTCAAATGTGAACAGCCAGGTGTTCGATGAAGGCGGTGTATAATGTCCGAGTCTGGACTAGACAATCTAGTGATTGACATCCTGAAACAGTGATCGCCATGCACAATTTTTAATGGTTTGTTACGACTATAACGCGGCTCTTCGCGAGTCGTTTTGATTATGATGGGTTTCATTTAGTGTCAGTGTCAGCCAGACTACCCTCTTATACATCAAGAAGAGTAATGTACACTTCAAATCTATCGTAGAGTACTAGACACATGAAGGAATGTAAGAATTATCAACCATCAAAGACCAAGCTTCTATCTTTAAAATAAGGAATCAAGTTGAGTTTTGAGTGGTGGGAAGTTTGTCCAATTTACCCAGCAGTCAGCAAAGGTTAGCCAGGTTGACATTGATGAATACTTTCAGAATGTATACGGGCATATATCTTCAGAAACGTTTGATGTTTTGACACACGAGATGCTTTCTGTTAGTGTCAATTACCAGTATTATGGGGTGATAATGTGTGTGTATAGCCCAATCTATGTTCAAAACGCTCCAACTTATAAAATCAAATACTTCTAAATTCACATTTTGATTGCAGTGTTTCATCTGTTTCAGATCTCCGAACGCATGTACTAAACAAAGGCAAGAAAACACGAAATACAAGTCCTGAATACCCATTGAGGCGGATGTTCATTCAACATATCTTCTGTAATGATGCTAAATGATAGTTTATGCCATTTATTTGAAGTGGAATGTGTTTGTGAAATTAATACAATCTGTAAAATCTAATGCAATAAATATGTATTATGAGGTATTATTCTTAGATGTTACGTCGAAAATATAATGTTGAATATAATTTGTAACCTGGTCCTAGAGCCCTGAAGTACTGAATACCCTCTCTCACTCATATTTGTCTTCATATACATTCTACCCTACAGCTTTACCTTGCAATGTGGGAAATGTTTCAGTTATCGAACCATATCGAACCAATGGTGAAGGCTGCCTTTTGCGTTCCGCTCACGGTTTCACACATACAGGTTTTATTAAATAGAAGCCACAAAACTGTTTCCTCACCCATAAGAAATCTCTGCTAAAAGCAGAGTTGATTACACACTTGTGACTATATCATGAGGATAGATTTCTTTCAGCAGTATTACAGCTGTGCGATGTTGTTTGTAAAAGATCGAGTCAGGATGATCACACAATCAGTGATTGTCACCTTGCGATACGATGACAGAGCATGTGTTTATGAATTGAATCACTATGAAATAGTGATGATACCAGGTGTTCGCCAAAAGGTGAGCATATCCTGCCCCACCGGTGGCATGCGTCATAAACATATGCTAAGTCTAGTCAATTGTTCACCTGAAATAATTCGGGAACATATGGTAAGTCAAAACAGGGAATTGCATATTTTGTCACTGGTGCATCAAATATGGAAATTTCCTCCACATGTCTACCATAAAACTTCTTTAAAGCTTTACTGAGGTCTTGAATGTTGTAATCTTGATAAAACAACTTCTGAGCAAGAGTGGCATGAGGCTCTTTGAAGTCCTGATAAAAAGAGCACGCTCGATAGTACCTCAAAAGTCGTGAAATGTAAACACCAAAGGCTGGAGCTGCTGGAATATTGCTCGACATAAAAGGGAAGTCGACTACTGAAAAGTTGAAATCATTCCTTTTGTCTTCCTTTTAGTTTATGCACAAAGCGAGAGTGATTGTGATGTGGTGTTAAATTTTCGAACAAACCTGCCACTCTTCCGCACCACCTATAACACCGCCATAAGTATAATGTTTGAACCATGTGACATCAATTCCATTCCGTAAACATCGTTCAATATTGGTTTCCAAATAGCTCATGCACATGCATGCTATCCTTGCGACTAAGTCGACGGCGTTTAACCACAGCACTGATTGGTGCTCACACTATCAACCTTTGGTTTTAACTGACCATACGCGGTTACTAACAGACTTGATTCCATCTACATTTCGCCTCTGTGACATGAACACAATATATTGAAATACCTTTGATTTAACAAAATGCGCGCTGATATTTTCACAGCTTTTGACCAAATAAATAGCAGCTAATTCCCCCTCATATGCATAGTGTGATATTAATTCTACGTTGAAAAAAGATTTTGCTGTGTGAACACTCGAGTCGGCAAACTCATACCACTCATAAAATAATTGAATAATAATCACAGCCCACTAAGGTGAACCTGAAGGTCACACACACACACACACACACAAACACACACCTGGGCCGGAAAGGAACTCCAAAAGGAGGGTGGGGCTTAAGGGTTCAACAGTCGATTAGGTCACACAAAGGTCACACATACGTGACGTCATCAAAACAAAATGGCCGACCAAAAAATCCTAACACCACACCACACCCCCACACCCACACCCTTACAACACGTGACTACGTTGTCAATCAAGGGGAGAGTCAAAGAACTACATTTTGGAAATTGCTCAGGTGCGGCACTATCTTCATCAGTCGACGAACTTCAACAAATACACCTTTAAACCTTTAAAAACACATATCATATCATCTGATTTTTAATCGATCTAAACTACGGTATGAGGGAAAAAAGCGTTCCATCATCACCCCGTGTTTGATCCCAGGAAGGATTTGACGATGCTGTCAACACCAATCACTCAGTCATGTCCCGAACATTTTGAAACTAGTACCTGTATTCGCATCAAATTTTTAGTTTAGACAATTCCAACGATCTATATACCTGATTAGAACAGTAACAATAAGGTTAACGAGTATCAATCTTCGCCTGAAGAACAATTCATCTTTCTTGAAGTATAACTTACTAGATGCGACCTGACCTTTGTGTCAGTTGTCTGCCCTTACTGTACGTAACTCGCCGGAAGGGGACGGGGTAATAACGTCAACCAGTACGTGAACTTGTGTTGAGACAGCTCCTTAAACAGATAGAGAGGTTTGACCGCCGCGGGTCTGCGGCTGATCGGACAATGATAGTGGCAGACACTAGACCAAAAACTATACATGATTATAAAAGTCTGCGACAAGGAGCAGTGTAGATGACATTCTAGCTGTGCACAGAGAGGCGGAATTGTCACACAGAGTTCGAGGACATGATAGGCAATACGGCTGTGCCAACGCTGAATGTGGTGAAACTTTCATTCTGGCTTTCCATTTTAGTTCCGGGACATGCTTAAATTGCTTATTCTGTAATAATAACGGTCGTTCTCAAAGGTATTATATCCAAATATGAAGAAATTTTACGTATGTTGTGTCTGCATATACGCACCTAAAACTTCTGTTTTCAAATCGACCCTCAAGACCCATGTTGGCCGCTTAGATATAAACCGACACAATTCCTCCACTTGTTTCATGGATCGTAGCATTTTATGGACGAACTACATGCAAGTCGTCAACCTTACGTCATTAAGGGGAATATCACGTTTAGGGTATCGCAAGCTTACTTTAGGCTACAACTTCATTGTGTATTTGCGCAGTGTTACTCTTTATCTTGACCTTACACTTCTCATGGCTTTAATTGAAAATAGATCACAGCTACTGCTTTCAACCTGCTCTAATTAACGTCTCACTATTTTACATGCAGACTGCTTGTAGAACTGGTCGTTATCGGTAATTTCAGATCAGTGAAGCCGCAGGTGAATTCAGTTGTTTAAATTCTATTTTCAAAGTTTAGATTTTAATTAGGAGCCAAATAAGGCTGAACGACTGAATAACGCTGTCAAAGACGGAATCACACAATGCCAACGTTGGTGATCGTTGAAACTAATTTACGTAGTCCCGTCACGATACCAATTTAAGTTGTGTTTTATTGGCACAGATGTTAAATGTACGTGATAGAAGTACATTATTCTCACGAGTGTCCAAGTACGACCCATTTCTGGTGTCCCCCGCCGTGATGTTGCTGGAATATTGCTAAAAGCGGCGTAAAACCAAACTCAATCATTCAGCCAGTCCAAGTACGATCCATCAGCTGTTCTTAAGAAACATGACCCGGAAACGAATGTCATGATGTTCAACATACACTAAACACCAAAAGAAACGTTACCCTCCTTTCTTAATGAGGGAGGTTGTGATGTGTGGACGTCCACTTCTTGGTCCTGTCTACGGTAATCCCAGTCTGTCTGAAGCCCTGAATAAGTCTTATAACCGTGATACGGTGGCAACCGAGGGCGTTGGCAACAGCATTGTATGTCGACCCCATCTGCACCATCCCAATGGCTCTTTCTCTCCCTGCAGCTGTTAATCGTGGCATATTTCCCGTACTTGTGTATCAGATCATGTCTTGTAAGCTCTCTTTATACCCTATGGAATCATTCTACATGTGAAATGGATGTAAATACTGCTTGAACATTGCTGCGTTTTGGCGATTGATATAGTTATGTGTAAACAGAAATTGGAAAAATGTTACTTTGCAAGCAAAAATGTTAACAAAGATAATTTAGATGTTCCTAAACATTTTTTCACAATATCAAAGACACGTTTCACTTGTTTTCACTCATGCAAATCAGCAAAAAATGTTTTAAAAGACTGAAATCATAGCAATGATTAGTTTTCAATTCTACGCTCTACAACAGTTGTTTCTTGTTTTAATAGTTGGAAAAAAGGTGACTTTAAATGATTGGTTTATCATTGTCCCAAAGCAGAATTTTATTTCAACCTTTCTTTTGGACTTATAAATCACTATTATTGGTTTATTTCGGAATGGACGAATATAGGACAATTTAACTCTTCTGAAAAAGATGCATTTCACCAAAATATGAATGCATTTAAGAATTTGTTTTCGTGATTTGCATAAAGCTGTGTTGTTAAGCTTTCTTGTCAACTAAAACTTCCTAAAATATCTTTGATAGTTTTTCAGTAATTCATAAAGGTAGGAGGGTAACGTTTCTTTTGGCGTCTAGTGTATATTAGTGCTTTCTCTGCATGTACGAAATGCAAGTAATTTGCTATGGGATGCATGTTGCAATGTCAGTTGATAATATACACAGCTGTACTGAATTTCCGGATATTCAGTCATAACATATCAACATCAGTTTTGTTTGTTTGTTTACTGATGACTGCCACACCCAACAACATTATATCTATGTGGTTGTAGATATTAGTCTCTGGGCCAGACAATCCAATCTCCGCAAGTGATATATGATGCCGTGTATGAACCGAGCATAACCACCTGATGCCGTTAGTGGCCACAAAAACATGGGTTACTGAAGATGAAAATAACTCTTAACTTCACGTGTATATCAGTACTTGAGATCAGTGGTGAGAGTATCAAGTCTCATTGTGCACGATGATTCACATTAGTGTGTTAGTGTTGTCTAACGCCTCTTTGAACAGTTACATCATGTGTGGCGAGATCTCGAGGGAGGCAGGTCACCGCTGAATCCGTGATTGTGAACGCACGGATTCTGGCTCACCTGAAGAAGGTAACTCTGTACTTTCTGCGCCTTAGACTACTGGGTCAGCATACATTCACAATGGTCTGAGGCAATAAGGCATTATGAAACTTTGAGTAAAATTATATTACTTCATCAAAAGAACATGACTGATGACGGAGCTCATTCTACGAATCTGAAAACATCATAGGCATGTGTTTATGAGCCACCATAAAGCGTATTCTGAATTTCATCGATGGATTCCGTTATAAATATGTCTAAGTCTAAGTGTTCATCCTAATCATTAGGACAAAATAACGAATGTGATTGAACATGTTGAACATGTCATACAACACAATTCTAGTTACTTATATCAAACGTTTGGTATGTTAGTTATGTGCAGGCAAGAAAGATCTTTCTACGTTA